ATTGTGATACGTGTTCCACTTATCCAATTTCCTTATTCGGGTAGAATTAGACGTTTTAAATAGATGGCAGCTCTCTTACATGTACATAGTTTGAAATAAAGCCTTTCCCCTGGTAAATCCCTTCAATAACCTTCTTAATGCTCAAACTAAAGGTTTCTTAACAACAATAACTACTCAACTGTTCCTCTAATTCAAATTCGACTTATGAAACGGGTGGCAACCATATTCAAAATATTTTCCAACCACAGTCTTTTTAAGCTTATTTCCTCTTGCTTCCATGAGTATGGAATTGATTTTAAATATATCCAAACCAAGTGCTACACCACAAATACTTCTAGATATATGCAGTATGAAAAATTCCGTTTGTATGGGAGGTGCCACGCTCCCTTGTCTAAAGGTAATAAGTTGGGTTTAACAACACTTAGTGTGCAAAATTTCATTATGATCGGTTGAGTAGTTAAAGTGTGAAAACGTAACAAGCAAAGAAACTCACTTTCGGGCAGAGTCATGAAAAAGTAGATATGGTATTTCACCATACATTACATGAATTAGGGTGGTCCAAAAATTTATGAGAAAATGTAAATTCGGAATTATTATGCTCCCACCCCCTAGGATTGTTTCATACCGAAAAAATGTACCCCTATTTTTTTATTATGAAATCAAAAAATATTTAGAGGTCGCTCAAAGCGCTCAAAGTTTTTCATGTATTTTATATGGGGAAAAACAACTTTTCATAAAAATGCAGGAGATTCCCTATAACAATACCCAATTTTTATTTAACCATTTTTTCATAGAGACTATAATTTATAGGTCCGTACCATTTCTACGAAAAGTTGTCTGTTTTTCTATATAAAATACATCGAAAACTTTGAGCGACCTCTAAATATTTTTTGATTTAAAATTAAATAAATAATATAAAAAAAACTTTTTAATATACAACGCTTTTATAAATGGACTAAAAAGTAGAAAATANTTTAAAGAAATGGCGTGTCGTCTATTTCCGGTGTAGCAAACGTAGTACATAGGGCGACATCTAGATGTCATCTACCTCGCCCTATTCACTATGCTTTTTTATAGGAGCTTTTCAAAGCTTTGCTTTATGGTGTCGGACACACAACATTGAAAGTTTCTGGAACACAACATTGAAAGTTTCTGGAACACAACATTGCAAGTTGATAAAAGCGTTGTAAAATAGGGGTATATTTTTTCGACATGAAACAATCCTAGGAGGTGATAATAAAAAAAAATATAAAAAATTCCGGCTTTACTTTTGTGCATACATGCCCACTAGTAGTGAGAATTTGTGTGAACTTTGGGTTTCATGAGCAGGTAGCAGCTTCCACCACGTTATGCTGATCTCAATAAACAAGAAGAAAAAGTTGTTTCAACCCTTTGAGAGGTGTATGTACTAATAAAAAAAAATATACAGACACTATTGTGGCAGACCCGTAAATATGTTATGACGCAGCTTTGACGGTAATTGTCAATGCAAGGATGCAATAAAAAGAACGAAAAGAAAAACAAAAACAAATGAATATTAGCAATATATATATAAATAAGAAGTATGTATGTCATATGTAACTAGGCACACGTTCCTATGGCATATACAAATAAGAATTCTTATTCATTGTATGCACATTAGATCGTGCCTTACGATACATATATGAAAAAATAAATATAAATACAAAGTTTCCAAGTGGGTTTCGCACATTTGAGATTAGAATATCAAGGAATACAATTTTTTGGTGGATTTAAGCACGTTTTAAAAATAGCTAAATCGAAACAGTCCTCACCATATACATATATATCTAGCCTTATGTAATATTTTTGGTAGTTAAAAAATGGAAAGTTCTGGACAAAGGGAATAACAAACAAGTAAGAAAGTCTAAGTTCGGAGCCGAACATTAAATACCCGGCGCAAGTATTAACTTCAGGAGGGTCTCAAAATTATATTTCCCCTGCAACCGCTGCAAATATTCGTTTATGTGGTTCCTGTGAAGGGCGCCCTCTGAGCAAACACGTGAGCCCGACTTGATGAAATCACAGTTGACAGTTGAAGCCGAGCGGCGAATGCCTCTCTAAATAGTTTTAATTTACTCAAAATGTATGTCCATATTTTAAATAGCTGAAAATTTATTTCCCGTTTTTTAAATAAAAGGTATATATTTCCAGTTGTTACTCGAATTTTGTGTCCATCATTAAAACGACTGGAAATTTATGGCAAGTTTATAAATTACCGTTTATTTTCTATTTTTAACTATCGAAAAATGTATATCCGTCTTTAACATAACTGAAAATTTGTGTTCAGTTTATCACTTACTAAAAACGTATGTCCAGTTTATTACTTTCAAAAAATTTATGTGCATAAATAACGCAAAATGTATGTCTTGTGTCAAACCAACCGAAAATGTATGTCCAGTTTATAAATTAACATATGTATATAAACGGCCAGTTTTAAAATGACCAATCATTTATCCACAGTTTTTATGTCCATTATTGAAATAACTGCAAATGTATGTGCTGTTTTTTAACTAACCAAAAATTATGTACTTTTAAATTACCTCTAATATATGTATGTCCATATTTCAATTAACAGAAAATTTATGTCCAGTTTTTAAATTACCTAAAATGTATGTGCAGTTTTTTTTTTCTTACAAAAAAAAATGTATGACCATCTCTTAAATAACTTGAAATTTACACATGTCTAGTTTTAATTGACCAAAAATGTAAAAAAGTACAGTAAAAGCGGATTCCTCAGATAAAAACAAAAAACTTTATCTTTAGATTTTTATCAAAAACCAATCAAACCGATAACACTGTAGGGACGCTAAAATCACAAAAAAAACACTGAGACACGTAAACTGAATTTTGAGTCATAAATTACGGAGCTGTATACCGTTCTTCTTGATCAAGTAATTTTCCCAAGATTTTTTTTTTTTTTTTAAATACGTACGGGGGGAGTTTGTGGAGGGGGCGGTTTAAAATGTTAAGCTCCTGCGCCCTAGGATTTTTCTAAAGGAGAAAAGAGAATATATCGAATGTAATCGGGGACCCATAAAAAATCGTTAGTTTTAAAAATGTTGAAATAAACAATTGGGAATAATATTTGAAATCCCCGAAAGAGAAACAGAGTTTTCGGATCGAAAGCTATTGATTTGCAAGAATTCTAAACCATTTCTACAAAAAAAATTTGTTTTGAGGTAGTTAAAAAAAGTATGGATATTATTTTTTTCCATTGAGAAAAATCCTACGGGTGAGAGCTTAACATTTTACATTTTTTTTCTACCCCACTAATGTACATACCTACATATTTTCATATAAACTACATCTTGAAAGCCGTAGTATGTTACTTGCATCCATGCGCTAAAGTTTATAGCTTCGCTCATTTAGATAGTCGTAGTTGTTCGAAATTGCGGCAAGTGCCTCTAACACTTTGTCATAAAGTAGACATTTATATGCAGCATATTTGGATACACTACAACCATATGTACATACGTACATAGAAGAAAATTTATATTTATACATATAAGTAGTCATAGCTACCAGAGTAGCATCGAGATTAAATCATAGTGGAAAAAAATAAACTGGTGTACGGATATGACTATAAATTGCAATAAAATCTAAAAGAGGTAATAAATAGAGATATTGCATACATACTTGTTCGAATACATATGTACATATCTGCACGTTCGATGCTTCATTGCATTTGCTTTATAGTTTTGGATACATACGTCTATGTATACTATATACAAATAGTACTTATATGTATCTAAATAGATACTTATTTGCTTACAATATAGCTTGTAATAAAGTCAGTCAAGTGTATGTACATATATGAATAGCAGACGACCGGCGGTAGGTAAATATTAGATATAGAATACAAAAACTGGTATCTATGTTAGCTGTCAGTCTGCTGAGTTCGTAATATTTATACACTTTTCAAGTTCAAGGTTGCCTATACATATATACATACATACTTAGCAACATCGAAAGGAAATTCCATTTAAATGTGATTATAACTATAAGATATATGGTGCCATTATGAAACCTAACTAAATTCGCGGCAGCTGCGCCCACATACTTGCATACATATTTATGTCTGTTTGTACATATTTATAAATACAAACACGATCATAAATTCAATAATCAATAAGCTCACTAATTAATATTGAAAATGAAGTGTTAAAAAGAGCTATGGAAGATGGAATTCTTTGGCAAGAAAATAAAAATAAATAAATTTGGGCTTTGGATCAATAAATCATTGGGAATTACACGTTGCTATAAAAAAAAAACTGGTTACATGTACTATTTATGTCATATAGTAGGGTGGTAGCGCGGGTCTAAAAAACAATTTTTGGTACCAGCAGAATTTCAAATACACCGAAAAAATTTTAGGTCAGAATCAGAGAATAGGGATGTTGTGTCAGAATACCTGTCATTTCCGCTTCTTTTAGGAAATTTAAGTTAAGTTGAGAACGATTAAAAGCTCAGTTAGTCTAGACTTAATCTTCGTAACTTAAATTTACTCAATATTTTACATACATAAAAAAAAATATTGGAAGTTGGTTAAAAATATGTTCGCTTCTGGCCTAATTTGACGTGTTGAGTAATCGTTCACTATTTTCTAAGGTAAGTTAAGTTCAGTCTAGGCTAACTGAGCTTTGGCCCCGTGAACCAAAAAGATTTCCTATTAAAAATGTTTTCATAATGAAGCTTTTTTAAATATCGCTTGTTTGGCATCCTTATTGTGCTCAACTAATAATTTGAAATAAAAATTTAATTTTTAACTAGGTGGCAATCTATCTCTATGCAAACTATCCCTATGCCAAATTTTATCATTTAACCAAGAGATTGTTATGACGTTTCAATGGTACCTTTTCTAGCCAATTCGGTGAGCCATACAATTTTCAACAATGTCGCGGTCACTCGGTAATCCTACGCAAGCTCATTTAAATTAATAAGATAAAATATTAAGCAAATATCAATCTGTAGGTACTCACCGTCAATCGCGCAGGCGTCACACCACTGTCGCCCTGTGACGCGTCTGTTGCAGTCGTAGCCGCAATAACTGCAGCTGGTGTCGGCATAGTCGCGCTAAATTCAACTGCAATCGAATTTTCTTGCACCAAACTATTCGGACGGCCTTCAATGCGATGCAAACAGGAGAAGAATACACAGACGATGAAGAGAAATATTAATTTACGATTTGTCAGCAACTTAAAATGCCGAGACGGTTTTGTTTTGGAAGCATCTTTTTCATTGTCTAGCGGTGCATGCGATCCGATGTCGCTTTTCTTTTCATGTTCTTTTCTTTTGTTTTCCTGTTCCTGTCGCCTACGAGCCTCGACGAAACGTGGATCGTCATGTTTAATAGTAACTGCATCACAGAATGCAACGAATGCTAGCCATAAGCTAAGGAGTTGAGCACGCGCGAAAGCAAGTACATCACTTGTTAGCGATTCACTGTTTTTTAATGCATCATCAGCATTTTGTATGCTTGTTGCAATTGAAGAGTTTGCTTCTACTTTAGTTTTGGTTTTTACGCTACGGTCAGTTATATTACTACTTTGGCTTAAACTTATAGTTGCGATTTTTGGACAACAGTCACTAATTACTACATTATTATTATTATTATTATTATTACTACTATAGTTTTCATTATAACTAACATTTTTCGCATAATCTTTATTAACAGCAGCACTATGATTTAGGCGATCATTATAAGCGTTTGCAAGTTTTTCTTTGCAATTATTAGAAGAATCACTAGCATTATTATTTTTCGTATTTTTATTTGCAATATTTTTCATAATTTTACTAAAAGTAGCACCATTCAAAACCGTTGTCACTTCATTATCGATAGAAACATTTTCTGTAACTGCCTTACTGTTAATGCCAGAGCTGACATCATCACCATCACTATCTGTACAATTATCTAACGCAACGGAGTCCGAATCACAATCAGAATCAGAATTAGAATCATTTTCATTATCATCATCACCCTCGATGCCGCCTACCGCAATTCTGGTTGTCATCGTCGTCGTTGTTGCCATTGTCGTAGCGGTCGCGGCGACAGCGGCAGCTCTTTGACACTTCACGCATCCTATTTGTGCTTGTTTTGGGTGACACCAGCAGGCATATGGTTGCCTCGAATCTCTTTGATGTTGCAACATATCCACGTAAAATCCATCAGCTGGTACACTCTCATAAATAGTCTCTTTCATTTTATTTGCCATTCGTTGCTGTTCGCTATTCAAGCAATTATGCAGCTGTTAGGTAAACGTTTTCACTTCTAATTTCTTTTTCGATTTTTTTTTTGTTATAGCATTTTCATGTTAAATCGTATGGATTAACATAACAGCGATAGGGATGTGTTGGCAGAAGACAAGACACTGTGTGAGATAGAAATAAATAAAATTTCACTTGCCGCAACGTAACACGCGATGTGGGTATGTATTCCAATAAGTGTGAAATAATGCGTAGAATTAGGTTTTATACATATTTTTTAACCCCTCTCTGCGTGCATCAAGATGTTTTTGTATTATCTCTCTAGAATTCAATTTTTTAAGTAGGTTTTAAAACTGAAAGAAAATAGAGAAAAAAAATAAATTGGTATTGTATTACAGAGGGTTTTACATGGTTAAAAATTATATTGCATCATACTGTATTTTTTAACCTTCCAAAACAAAAATGGAAACTTAAAAGCAAAAACTTCTAACTTATAGTCAAATACTGTATCGGTGACAAAGATTTTGTAACCAACAATTTAAACTTTTTCATATATTTTTTCGAAAAAAAACTGTGACAAGAATTTGTCACTGATACAGCATAGAGCCGTTAGTATAGGAAGAGTTCAGAGGGCCGCATGCATCGGCACTACTTAGCACTTGCCCTATGGATGCCCTCAATGCTACTTATTACAAACCTATTTTCTGCAGAGGCATTCACACCTTCACGTAATGTATACCTAACGCCCACATCTATATTCTTAAAATCGATAATGCTGTTTTTTTTCAAAATACTGCATTCATACGATTCAAAAATTTCTTTTGTGCTACCTAAATTTTTACAATCCACAGAAGACGAATAAATTGATCAGTCGTTAGTACAAAACGGTATAAGCTAGCAGCGAATTGTGCGTGGAAACACGGTATAAAAATGCATAATGGTAATTTCCAAGCAAAGTGTACATGGCAGGTATTTTTTATATTTTTTTTAAAGATTGATAAATAGAGGTAAAAAACACACTGAATATTCAATTTCGGTAGAATTTGTCATTATTCATATAATGACACAGCTCACATTGTACTAGGAAATATCTTCCGCGCGACTGTTGCTTCAATCAATAGCTCCAAGCGGTTCGCATAAGTACAGCCTTTAACATAGCGCTACAAAAGGAAATTCAAATAGTAGGATCTTGATTGACAGGGCACTTCAGCGAAGCTCGAAGCCATAACTATAGCCGGGCGTTGTGGCATATGGCCCCATCTTTTTGAAAACGCATTTCGTCCATATCAAAATCTGAAATGACGATTAACTCGTCTATCTGATATTAATAAAAATTGGAGATCATTAATCCGCTAAAGTGGAAATATTGATAGGAAGCAAAACATTTTCGAGAATGTAAATGGTTCAAACGAATTTACGTCTTAGCTTAAAGACTCACGCAATAGCAAAGATTATCTGCATGGAAAAATACAAATTAATATTTTCCCCCGAAAAAAATACACATAGATAGATAACATATCTTTTAATTTTTCCACCAATCGAATATTTTGCAAACGCAACTTACAATTTCATAAAATTTACGAGGCACTCACAACGGTTCAATTAACATAGTTGCGATATGCATACACACATAAAAAAAAAAAGTTCTCAAAATTCACTCTATGACACTTGTGGCTCTATCACAGCCTGATAATAAATTAATAAACGCGCGTCAACGCAATTGAATTATCAAACAGGCGCCAAAAAAAACTACTATATCAAATTAAGTATAACGCTAACAAAATCACCAATTAACAGGCAAAAACACCAACTGACCTGTAGCAATAACCGACTTAAACTGGTTAAAACTGAAATTGGACGTGTGGTATTTAACGATTTTTCGAGTAAACTCTTAATATTGGGAGAAATTTTCACACCAACTCAATGATTAAAAATAAGTAAAGGGTGATGCAGATATTTCAGACAATTGGTACTAGGCTTTGGCAAATTTAGTCATGGAGTGATACTCAGTTGAACAACGAGTAAAAGTGATCCAAACAGTGAACAGGTGAACAGTGAACGATATTGTGGCATGATAACAAATTTTATATAGGCTAAATTAAATGACGTGGACTAGGACAATATGTGGTTTCAACACGACGATGCCACTTACCACGACGCGCATTTAACAATGGCCATATTGCAAACAAAGTTCCCAGAACGCCGAGAAAAGTATGGTCTAGAACAGAGATGGGCAAAGTGGCTTCCAGGAGCCTTTTCAACTTGAATGAAGGGGGAAGGAGAGCGTAATAAAATTTTTTGTACTTCGACTCTCATTACTAATATGTATGTATATCATGATGTTAATGTATTTTTTACACCCCATTTACCAAGAAAACTGCTTTACCACTTGTGTAGCGCTTGCTGGCTCTTTGACTGCTTTAAGATCCAAAAGTCTGCCCATCCCTGGTCTAGAACGATAGTTAAAACCCAAAGTCATGGAAAATTTTGATATGCGCATCCAATGTTGCTAGAGGAGTCGTGGTGGCCATTTTATGGATATTGTGTTTCATACATACATAAATGCCATAGACTAAAAAACATCATTAAATTACAAAAAAATAAAATAATTTCAACAAATTTTTCTATATTTTATTTATAAGAGAAAATTTGCGGTCCTATTAAAAATCACCCTGTATTTATGTGCTATCATACGACAACACATATGTTAATTACAGTTTATGTGAGATCAAATGCATACAAAAGATTTGCACAATACACGTAATGACGTAACGATGAATTAAAAACTCATAGCCAATAAATTTATGCCAGCAAGTGTTTCTAATTTCATATTTGCTTAGAATGTTATCGAAGTTCGTAAAACGAAATGATTGACAGCTAGACAACTCATTTCTTGCTTTATTTACCTTCGTTCTTTTTTGAACAAAATAATTGCAAAAGAAAAAGAAATTGATCGTAGTTACTGCAAATTTGCATGCTTCATTTAGTTTGCATATTTAGCACAATTAGCACTTTGTAAATTGAAATCTGTTTCGCAAAAATTTTTTGTTTATATTAAAAGTCCATTAGCGTGCAATTATTTTGTTATTAGTAGAAGTATAAATAATACATAGCTCCGCCATGTATTAGCAATCTTTCTTAGTGGTCTTTTCAAACATCTGTTCGAACCACAAGTTACCTAAAGAAATATATTTACAGGGCAATTCTGGCAACTGTCTTTCAATTCACCACAGTTTTTCAATTCACCACAGTCTTTCGAAAGACAAAAGGCTTTCCTAAGACAATTGTCAATTCTGGAAAATATTTCGAGAGCTCTTTCTGTCTTTGAAAAAACTAATTCAAAGATATACTAACTGGAGGGTCTTAGTATTATTCTGCTTGTCTTTTAGTAATAAATTTTCTAAAAATAAAATAAAATAACAAAATATATATATAAAAAACTAAAAATAAAAGAAAATTTAATTTAAAAAAGAAAAATAATAATAAAATTAGTCTCCAAAAATTAACGGAAATAAAAAAATATTTTTCCTTTTAAAACAATATAATCTAGAAATCAAACGAATTTAAATCAAAAAATAAAATAATTCAATTAAAAAATAAAATAATTAAATTAAGAGAAAAGAAAATATGAATAAAAAAAATTTTAAAATTAAGTAAAATTTAAGAAAACAATTATTTTTAAAACAATAAAATCTAAAAATCAAAAGAAAATTAAATTAAAACAAGATTAAATTAAATAAGAAAAAATAAGTTTCTAAAAATTAAATTAAAAGAAAAAAATTCGTTTAAAACAATAAAATCTAATAATCAAGAAAAAATTTAACTCGCAAAAAAAATGATTTAAAAAAATTCCGCTGCCCGAGGATTCGAACCGCGCCTCTTTCCCAGTGCTTTGCTCACTCGGCCATTGTGACATCTCCACTTGGTACATGCTCAATTGTTTTCTGCCAAAAAAGCCTTTTAATATGAAACTTGGCAAGGAAGCTCTTTCAGGTAAGACCTATAAGATTTTATTACAATCTTATAGCATTCTTTTGACAACCAACAATTTCTACCCTTAAACTATGGTTCTCACCTCGTGTTTAGGGAGAGGAATGTGTAACCATCACCTGATTAGTAAGGAAATTAGTCTCTAAACGGCCTGAGTGCTCTCACTATTTATCTCCATAAAGCAAGCATCAGGCCTTATAAGCAAATTCAGCTTAGTGGTATGGTCTTTTTAAGGACTTTTAACAGCCTAGCTGTTTGACTCAAAGTGTCAATACCAATGCAGTATTCTTTGAACGAAGTCCTTTTCAAAGAACGAACTACTCTCTATGAACAGCGGTAGCGTTCCCAGTGCATCTCAGCATTTACTACGAGGGTCCGGTTTAAAAGTTTCCACGAATAACCCTCAATCTCTGCAGCTCCTTATTCCATCAGGGAACAGGAGTGCGACTAAGGGGTGGATGACGTACTCTGAAGCTACTTCATACTCTGAGCCTACAGCCTGTCTGTCCGCATTAACATATTTAGCATCATCGCCAAGAAGAAATGCATAATTGCACAAGTTTGGTAATTGTGTAAAGTGGAAGGACACTATAAGACAAGCCCTCGGCCCAATCGAGTTTAGTCAAATAGGATTTTAACCTCAAGTAAGCCACTCAATGTACATACCAGCCCATATTTTGGCACGTGACACCAACGGATTTGGGTGCTCCTGCTTCCTACAAGGTGCCACTACTTTCCGTGTAAATAATCTTCAGGACAGAGGTCCTTTGGAGGGTGCAGCTGTAGGAGGACTTCCGGCGATCGCACCGTAGGATTTTTCCTATCTGTGTTTCGCCGACTGCTCCTCCTTCTTTTCCTTCTCATCTGGAAAATAGTAAGCCAGAAATACTTATCCGGCTCCGACTGTTTAGAAGAGTGCTTGTAAACTCCCTTCGGAGCCCATAACCCTGTCGAAAGTGCTTGTGGGTACCAGCTGTAGCTTAATCCTGAAGTTCATCTATCACATTGTTTGAGAGTTTAAACCAACCGTGAATACCTGAACTCTTTTCCGGCTCAGCAATCAGTTTCCATTTACTGTAAGACAGATTAATAAGAAAAGACGAAAACAGAACAATGTACGACATGTAGTCTCGTCGATTGTTTTGTGTTAATTTCGACAAACTACCTCTGAGCTAATACTCAAACCAATTTATCAACTTAAAACCAGTAAAACTCCGAGTTAAATAGATAACCTATGTGTTCAGTTAATTATCCCAAACCACTTCCCTCCTACTTTTCTAGCATTCA